ATCGAAACAAGTCCCCCCTCATGCCCAAGAGTCTCGAACACTGCCACGACGAAACCAACACCCAACTGGTAACTCTGCAGAACCGGGAATCCGGAGCCCACCTTGCCACTAACCAGTAGCATAACGAAATGAGTGTGGCTTCGTTCGCGAAACTTTTATCCGGGCCCCCTTCATAACAGTGCTAGTACATGCTAGTAAAGTGTTAGTACCTTAAATAATAAAATAAACCGTTAACAATTAACCAAAAAAATATTCCATCAGTTATGATTAATAATCGATGGTGGAAAAATCTGCCTTCATTATTTAATTTTATGAGATTACGACAGTTATAAAAACTAAATGAATTGCTTACCTATATTGATTGAAAAACAGGTTATATAGACTACCAAAGCGGGAAAAATCGTTCTTATGGATTTGTCTTGAAAGATGCTGTTTTCAGTTGTTTTTTTATCCACATGCAAAGTATGAAGTAATTAATATTTCTTGCAATCGGAAAAACTTCATCCTAAAAATAGGCCCTGTTTTACCTGGGGCCGCCCTCACTGCGCGCCCGCGCCCTAACATCAGTGGCTGCTCATGAACAAATTAGTCCTTGGTGCAGAAACCCCTTAATCAATTTTTTTAAAAAAGATTTTGATATACATATATCACACGATATTATGTAGTTATATATCATACATATGTTCTCGCATCTTTTTTTTTCAATTTTCGAAAATACAGAGACTGCGACGAAAATGGGACCAGCACCACTTTCTTTACCTTCTTTGCTACATACGTAGAAAAGGTGGAACCGTTTTTGAAAAAAAAATAATTGTTTACAATTGCTCATGTTTTACACAAAATTACGCAAAAACACTCATTTTTAAAAATATGAGCATGGTCCTCTGTATAACTGTTTTAGATGTACAGATTTCATTAAGAAGAAAAATATCTTCATATTTGTAGTTGTAGGAAAACGCCGAAAAAAGTCTTTGTAATTTTCGAAAATTTATGGAGTGTAACGGAAATACGAGTTACGTAATTAATTTTGTAGAGTCTTTTCTTCTTTTTTCGAGCCTTTTGCTCTATTAGAGGAAAATAAACAAAGAAAAAATTAGGGCCCATTTTTTAGAAAAATTTGAAAATGTTGAGACTTTATACAAAGTATCCCCCAAAATCAAAATTCACGGAGTTGCGACATCTGTCCCATAAACATGGGGGCCCCATAAACATTGGTCTCTCACAGAAATCGGTCGGTCGATCAGGGAATATCAATTTGCAATTTTGCCGCGTCGACGCTGCTGTCAGTCAGCCTCACGTGAGTGAGAGCGAACCTGCTTTCGCAGTCCCTTCCGTGAGGGAAACTGCTCCGGCAATCGACTCCGCAACGAAAGCATAGGCTTTAATAAGTATCAACTTGGCTGGGCGGGAGTCGTAGGCATTTCGTACACTGGAAAGTCGCAACACGTCCAAAACGGCATCTGTGCGTAGGACGCGGCGTCTCCCAGACAGCTAAGTACACATAGCTTCGCGATGCTTCCTAAGGAAAGTCCTGTGGCAGCTTTTGAAGTTGTCGTGCTATACATTGATCGATATCTAGGCTACGAGTGTCTTATTAATTAGTCCAGGCTGAGCCATTTTCTTGAAATAGCCTCTCTAAAAGAAGGTCTGGTGGTTCGGAGCACGCACGGTGCGGTGTTCTTGATGAAAGACCTATTTCTTTTCGCTGCACCGATAGACCAAATCGCTGTTCAGTCACACAAAACACGTGGTTCATAATCGTAAAATTGAAATGGAAAGCCACCAAGAATTAACAAGAAATGAAGAGAAAGCAATGATTAAGTCATCAATCTTTACGATTCCAATTGATTCTGAAATACATCCATAGTACAAAATTGATTTCATATGGTGCCTTTTTCCGGTCTACTCATAAACTGCCTCAAAATCTTTTGTGAACTATTTCACAGCTCCCCCATTTTCAAACTTCACCACTGGCTTCGCTGCACATGTTTATACACGTAAACTATTGTTATTGGGCCATCGCTGTAATTGTGATTTTCTAAACTATATTTTTCTGTTTTTAGTTTGTTCATAGTGTCTTGAATTGCCGATTAATAGCAATTGATTTTCGTTTACTTTCGTAAATAAAATTGCGCCGAATTGGACAGAAATCGGCGAAAAAATGCTAACAACTTAGAAGTTATTCGGTGAAAACCATGAACATTTGACCCACGTTATGAAATATTAACTCTGAGACACAAAGCATGTCGCAGATGCCTTAATGGGGAGGGGGGGGGGAGAGATTGCGGTTGTGTAATCGTTGCGGTCGCGGATAATAAATGAATGTTGTCTCTTCTCAAAACAACCGTTCTGAGAGAAAGGTGACCTTTCAAACGGGATAAACGCACCATTCCGTTGAATACATCGATGTCTAGCATGATTTTGCGGTCCACACAGAACATTTTGTTTTCCACAGCCTTAAGCGAGGCAGGCATCGCAACGTCTCGTAGCTGATTGGTACCGCAGTTTATCGTTTATTGCGAGCCACAATTATTCGATTTTAAGGCTTACCTTTGCATTTTAGAATATTTTGTTGTACGTTGTTGGGAGCCCTAACAGCGAGATAATTTTGATCGACGACTTTTCCTTCAAGATCGCAGTGGCGCCCTGCTCTGTACGCTGCTTAGGGGTCGTGCATAAATGACGTAACGCTAAAAGGGGACGGGTATTAGTTTAGTGATACGTAACGTGGATAATTATCTATTTACAGTTCTCAACATTTTCCGAAATAATTCTTTTTTTTAGTTTTGTACCAAAATATTGAAATAATAACTACTTAATTTGTTTTTTAAACATAAATAAATGAACATTATGACATCTACATAGTTAAAATAATTTTACATATTTTTTCAACAATTGTTTTTATTGAATCTATAGGATTACGAATAAAATCTTCTAAACTGAAAGGTAGTACAAGTGCTAGTACTTATATGTAGAATTTGAATATTCTTGAATCAATTTAAATTGACAGAGTACACTCGTCCATCTGTCATCCACCAAACCATCTGTGACCAAATATTTTTGCACCTATGCGTCCTTCCTTCACTCACTCACTCAGTGCCCCAATCTTATCCATATTCTGCCGTAAACCAATTTTTCGGTATAAAGGTCCCACAAAAAGTGAATTCTGACTACACAACGTGCTAAAGGGAGTAATTTATTACATATAGGAATAAGAGTTATCCACTTTTTCGGTATCAGGGATCTACAATACTAATTTTCTGGGGAAAAATCGGTGCAGCATTACATAACTTTATACTACATGTGTAGTATGCAAGAAAGTAAAACTATGGCTTTTACTAATTTTCTATACTAACACGTCATTCTATACGTCAGTTGATAACATTATAAATGCTAACTAAATAACAAACAAAAAATACAATTTATATTCATCATAAACTTCTTTATAATAAAACGTTATGTCGGCTGGACACTATCCATGTCCATCTCCACCACCACCCTCGAAAAAAATTTCGAGTGTGCTTGAGCTTCCTACAATGCTCGTATAGAAGGTGTGAAGGATGCTATCGAGAACTAATTGTTCGCACGATCTGCAGGTTTGAAGTAAAGGGCATATTACACTTCTAGGAAGAGGTGCATCGTGGCGGCTCGCGGTCATGCCATTAGGAAGTGCAATATTTTTCTTCTTTCTCCCGTTCTCCCCCTCTCTGACACACACTCACGCCCATACACATATGCATACATTACACGCGCACACGCACGCGCACGCACGCATATATTTCCGGCATTTTAACGTAAACATAATTAACATAAATAATGATAAACACAGGGCATCTTATACCCAGTTAGATCAGTTTACCGCGTAGCGACTCGGCACGTTCCCGAACAGTTTTCCCACGAGTGTCAGGAGCTATATTAAGCACATCGATTCAGAAGGTTTTGTTTTACTCGCACTTTTGGTTTAAAGTATTTTCCATAAGCTCGCTGTTCAAATTTATGGCCGGTCTCTACACCCATTTCTCAATACGATTTGGATAATTTGTCCTACACTGTATGACGAAACAAGTCCATCTGACGCTTGTTTCCACCAAATTTTTCATTAATATCATTGGTTTCTCATATTTAATTATTTCAACGCTATTCATTGTTAGTTGTACAAACATTCATGTCACAAAATTAACACTAACTTTGGTTTCTCAAAACGCATTAAAAGTGGCCAAGTACTATATACGTTTACAAAATGCATTTGGGTTTTCACTTACTTAGGAACGGATTTGTAATTGCAACTCATTTTATCACACAATAAAACGTGCGTATATAATTCAATTACACGATACTTATAAATATCCAACACTGCACAGCACTGCGTTCGAGTTTCGCGAGCAGCTTGCTTAAATGGAGAGGTATCTTACACTTCCTTCGTTCAAAATCTTACTTCTCTGAAAAGCATGTGCTAGCTGAGTGTTGTAACTTCGAGACATGTCACGGAGATTGCCACTGGGTCGGTAATACTCGTACCGTCAACGGAGTGCTCCATCCGTCCATAAGCCACTGTTGCACGCACACACACACACACACACACACCCTCTGGGCCCGCCAACCCCACGACACCCCACGACGCGGTTTCCTAGTTCGCATATCTCGAGTGCACATGCGAACTTGCGAATACCCATGAACCGCCACTGGATGGAAATAAATGCTTCTCGAACATTTAGAAACTCGTATTGACACACAACTTTAATAAAGAACAATACTCACAATATTCATCCTTAAATTCATAATTCGCTTGATTGTATGATCTGTAAATCCACGCTACGTCAATAATGTTATGAACTCGTAATGTGTTATACAATACAAGTAATATGAACGAAAAGAAAAATTCAGATTACTTCTTTAAGACGCAATATACAAAAGCTGTAGCATGGTGCATAAACGCACCATCTGGCATTAATGAGTGCAAATCATCGAATGTTTCGTGAAGAAAAATAAATCGTAATCACCTGGCAAAACTGCATTAGGCCTTGGTCGACTATGATATCCACGCCCAAGTTTCCTGTTTCCAGCATTACCAGTGACTTCAAACTGGAATTCTTCTGGTTAAGTTCAATTATATGGAGTGCTTCTATGTTAAGCTGTAGCAAGAGTGATTTTTCTTCTTCTGTACAAGAGGTGGTAAGGATTTTTGCACCCCAGTGATGAGCCAACTGGATGCACACGCTTCCGAAAGGAGATGCGCCATTCAGTATTAGGACTGGAAAAGAAAAATTAAGTCAGTCCTACTTCATATAAACTTCGCAAAAACTGTAAAAAATCTTCGAACACTAATCAAAATAGATTCAAATAACCAAAATAAAATAAAAATTGACAGGACTGTGTGGGGGAAACGCTTGCAGTACGGTACCTACGTGAAACTTTTTGAGCATACTGCAAAGAAGGCAAGGAGAATGGGTATAGAAATGTCCTAACCAAACACAGAACTTAAAGGAATTCATGCATTACAAAACTTGGTAAACTAATGTTACTCAAATGATGGTCTAAATTTGTATAGTGCATTCATGCACGTTCCCTCTTTGCAATGGGCTTTTAAGGTTAGCAAGCGCGCTCTGGTTGCTAGTTACTGAATTAACTGTATTCATTAATATTATGTTTTATATTTTGGGAAAGGTTGATTTGTAACATGATATAGCAATGTAGCCTTAATGTAAGAGACATCGGCGTAAAATACGAAAATATCGATAAAACGTGTAAGACAAGTCAGAAGACCAATAGGAAATAAATAAAAGGATCTATTTACATTCTCAATTCATTTGAACAGTGTGGAAATAAACAAAATATTAAATTAATTTATTTTCGAATGAACAATCCAATATCGAAATATAAAAAACTAGCCAATGATAGATCAGTATTCAGAAAACAAGCGATAAATTGCGTAGCACGAAACTTGTTTTGCGTGCGCCAGCAAGGTCTGGTAGAAATAGAGAATTTTGAAATTATATTTTTAAACGGGGTTTCGTCAGTACGTTTAACGCCTGGCAAGACGGAAACGTCAAACACATAACATTCTCTGAACATTAAGTTTTTGATATGGAAATTTCGGAATGTACGAGGCGGAATTGTGGAGGAACGACGAAGTTTTTGTTGTATGATAAATGGTGCTGGGAACGAGGACTTCGCATCGTCTAAAACAGTAGAACTTCGAAGAAACGAAAGTTACCAGCTCTAAAAACGTTTTTAAAAGTATGTTTAATCCAAGATTGTTATATTTCAATAACAAAGTAAACTAAATGATGGCCATTCATTTTCACGCAAAATAGTGGAAATATATCTTAAGTTTTTCAAGTATGAATGCATGCAATGTTATTATTTTCTTGTTAATGGGTTTTATTGTAAATAGTGTTTAATGAGTGAAGCAGAGAGTATATGTGGATGTGACGTTACTTGTTTGTATTGTGTTTGTTTAAACGTGTAATTTCATGAACAGAGACCGAGAGAAAGGTATTATTATTGAGCAGATTTTTATGACCTAAAACATCCCCCCAAATGATCAATAAAATACTTCTAAGTTGTTTTTAAAATACCCAAAAACCAAAGAAAAATGACATAAAATATGTTATCAAAATCTGTTCAAATGAACAGATCAAACTGTTAGATATGTTACTAATGTAATCGAGGCGTCTTCCTTTCGTTCAAGTGAACTCAAGCTTTCAAACGTTTGATTTGGACTTTATCACAAAATCTCTGTCTTTAGGTATCCCGTAGGTATATACGTATATGCGACGGAAAGACGTTTTGGGGCATGCCCAGGACTCTAAGAAGTACTGCGTCTGGTCTTCAGAGAAACGTCATCTACCAGTCGCCGTGACGTCAAGTTCTCAGAAGAAGAACGCCGCTACAAAGAAACTGGCATCCAAGCTGACAGAGGCCAAAGTTGGGCGTGAGGGTCCAGTACCGCCCGGACAGTTGATGTTAACGCCCTTCGCAATAATCGAAGCCTGTGGCAGAATGAGCCCAGACTTCTGCTTCAGTAATGGTCATTATCTGGTTCAGTAACGTCACTCAGCACTCCGCTACAAACTTTCGATAAGGACACAAAAGACTGTCTCTGGCAACCTCCGGTTCAGGCCTAAGGACGTACATGTCCCGTTGGGCACAAGAGTATTGTGCGTGATTCGAGGGGAAAATGACGAAGCAGTTAAACAATGGTTTTAAAGCCGTAGAAGAACTTGACTTTACTCCGAGGTGCCGTCCAAAGAGACCCTGTAAGAGTCTGACGCAACCGAGAAGCGAGACAATATCAGGCGATGTGAAGGCCATTCTCAAGAAAGTCATCTGGGGGTCTTGTGGGCCGTTAAAAAGAATAGGTCACGTGCTCTCAAATGGAGTTGAGGGATGAGTATCGCTTGAGAAGATAGTATAGTCGCCCTGGATTCGCCAGCGTTCACTGCAGAGAACCTTTCGGATTCGGGGCCCCAACGAGTGCAATTCGCCTCATGGCATCTTTTGCCGCCAGCCATGGGTTGATGCGATAAGTCGACATCGGGACTGTGTATTTCAATGGGCTCCTTGAAGAGGCGATCCACATAATGCCACCTGACAATCTTCAAGAGATCCTGAGAGACATCGTAAATTTTGAGGGCGGGGATTGCTTTCGATTGGAGACAAAGGGAATGTTTGCGGACCAATATAGACGTGACAAGGTACGTCACTCGAGGAAATTCTATTATAATTTACAAAAAAATGGCCCAGGTTCGAGTTTTAACGAAATCTTTGAATTTTCGAAAATAGCCAATTAAACATTTTCAACCTCTCTTCCAACTACATGTTGATGATAGATTTTTTTCTTATGAAATCTGCCCAAATGAGATATTTAAATAATATCCAGTTGCAGTGTTTTAATTAGTTGTTTTTGCTAATTTTGAGTGAAATCAACACAATTACAAAAAATGTAAAGAAGATTTTCTCAAAAATTACTTTTGAATTTTTCTTTTCTTTTAATTTTTTGCTCAAATACAAGTACAGTAAAGTTCTCTTAATGAAATGCCATATGTACTAATTCGACTAAAATCTCTGAAGGATTGAAAAGTGCAAAAGTTCTTTTGGACTCATTTAAGATCTTTAAGATTGAAGCTAGATTTCTTTGCAAAAACTAAAAACTATGGTTTAATGCGGTAGTTCATCTCTCATTTGTTAATTATAAACATCAAATTTCAAGAAAATTATCCAAGTACTTAATTTTCTCCAGTTGCTCAAATTTTACCAAACAATCAAAGAGAAGCAGCAAATAATGCTATACATTTTTTTGAATCTATTTTTTCAACCAATAACATTTGTATGTTATAAGATTTTCATTTTACATCCCGCAAATCAATTGAAAGATAGGGTTTTATAAGAATTTATGAGGCATATTTTGATAACAACTTTTTCCATTTCATGAAGAGGGAAGGAGGGTAGGCATGTTTAATTGCAACAATTCTTGCACAGGTATGCTAGTATTAGAAAAAAAGTAGTTGATGTTTGAGAGCAACAAAACATTCTGAACTTTAGATATCTCGTTCACGAGCTCCAATAACGGCTGGTACAACTTGAGCTAGTGGAGCTATACCTACAAGCACATACCTACTTGTATTATTGGTAACAGTTATAAAATCATGCAATTTCTAATCCACTAATACTTCATCTACTTTCACTTGAAAAAATTCCAACAAATGAACTGCCAGCATAAAAAAAAATTAGTTTAAAATATTTAAATGAAATGGATTTTAGCTATTGAACTGAGTGTATGTCCTTTTTTCTTACGAAAAGTTTAAAGAAAAAAGATTTACTCACACAGAGAATCTAACTGCAGACGAACTGAGACTCACCTGGCTGAGCCATGTTAACAACCATGAACGCCCTAATATTTAATGTACTATTCTGTATTTGTAATGTTCCGTTGTCCTTTCATATTTCAACTCTCATTTTAGTAAAATTTACTAATAATATTAAAAAAGTCTACATGAAATATTTTGAAGATCTAATATTAAAAAATCTAATTCCCTGCTTCTCTCCAATTGTATCAAAGTTTGAGCAACTGGGGCAAGGAAAAACTTACTTACTCAGATAATTATTTAAATTTGACATTTATAATAAGTAACAAATCCAATTACACCAATAGATAATCACTAAAGATCTTATATTACAGATTTTGGTGTAAAGAACATAATGCATGTCCTTTGTCTTAATTTAATATAAGTCTTCAAATTCAACAAAAATGTTCTATGTAATTGATGTCCCCGAACCTTTTTAATATATATATATATATATCAATCATATTATTAAAGAATGGCAAAGTAAACTAACCACACATTTTAAAATAAGCAATACAAATTTAAACACTACTCTATTTGCAGATGACCAGGCCATTTTTAGTACCTCAGAAGACGACCTACAGAGAGCTGCCCATTACCCAAAGTTAACAGGGAAAAATTCTAACTTGAAGATATCAACCTCTAAAACGAAAACAATGGCATTCCAGGGGAAAAACCATCTCAGATGTAAAGTAGTGATCAATTGAAAAAGTATTGAACAAGTAAACAACTTTAATTATTTAGGATTTAACATCTCATACTGCGACAAAAAAGATATAAACATAAAGATCCAAAAACTCCAGAAATTGTGCGATACTATATGCAGAACACTAAGACAAAAGACCAGACCAGACACACAACTAAAATTTTATAAAGTATGGCAATCCCTAGAATAGTTTCAAACTCAGCGAATTATCTTAATATTACTACAACTATTTCAGTTTCTACTGCTAATAATGATGATAATGATATACAATTTTTTCTCTGTAAGATAAGCAATTTCCTTACTCTAGACATTACACAAAAACATAATATTTACCTGTATCTCCTGAAGTTAATCTTCCTAAATAGTGTAGAGCAGTGTATGCTTTCACAGCATCACCTATGCATGCAGCTGCTTCCACAAAACTTACTCCATCTGGTTTTGGGGCTGAAAAGTCATTATTCAACTATTCAATGTCTATAATGATTAGTGCAGTATGCAAAGCACAATTTTGAATGGAATTTATTTTGAAGGGTATGAATTACAAGTTCTTAAATTAGCATATTGAATGCTATTAATAAACAAATTTCAACAAAATGCTTGAACAATTAATGTGCGAGATCATTGTAAAAGCTATCACCATCACACGTTCTCAATTTAATCATTCCATAAATATTTGAACACATTTGGAATTGTCTCCTCTTTAATAAAAATCAATAAAAATTAAGGTAAAGTTTAATTTCATTAGAATATTGATTTCCACAGTATTACTGAAACCCCTGAATCTGAAACAACTCACCAACATCAAATTCTTCCAAAACAACAAAATCTGAACAGCCAGACTGTTCATAATCCAGCGGCACAACACCTACACAAAATCAAAAGTCTCAAATCTCACAATAATTGAAAATCTACACTCAAAAAATTAAACAAATCTGCACCACAGAAATTTTTCCTGAGAAAACATACCTACTACAGCAGCACCAACACAAAGTGTTGTCACTTCAGGTCCCACAGCTAATACTATGCCGGCAATGTCACATCCTACACCAATTCGTTGGTTCTTCTTCGCTTTTGTCAGAAGTTGAAAAAGCGCAGAATTGTCATAATGACAACTAAGAAGACCACATGCTTTCACTTCTACTAGCACACTATTTCCTTCTATTTCTGGTAAATTGACCTGCAACAAGATATTTTGAGAAAACGAAACTTCACTACATTTCGAAACTTCAAAAAACGTTCTTGTCGATGACTGACATTTCCCATCAATACCGGTAAACATCAAACATGTCACTATCCATTTACCTTGTCAGAAATTATTTGAATGCCGTCATGACCTTTTACTTCACAAGAAATGGACTTTGCAAAACGTGGCTTCGGCATATTATTATACGCCTTCGCAACGTTTCGTTGACAGAGCCAGTGCGGCAGACGCAGAGATGCAGAGATCTACTACGCGCTGCTACGCTCTCTTCGATCTGTCAAACCAGAACAGCTGCACTTGTTGTCATCAGAGTCGTCGGCAGAGAATCTTGCTCCGACACCAAATTACTCCAACCAGACCAAAGAGTATGTATCTCCGCATTCTTCTCCGTTCCGACGCAGAAGCAACATTCTCCACTGCCGTCGTAAATTGAACATTTCGAGCGCCTATTTTGAAAGATCTGTCCAATGACCATGGACCAAAGAAGGATTATTTAGAGTTTTCATGCAAGCTCAATTTGGCTTATTTCAATGTATCGTATCAAAAACGCAACTGAACAAAAAAGACTTTGTGAAACTGTATATTTGTAACGCGACAAGATTTATGTCTTTATTTAACAACTAGCAAAATACCCGGCGTTGCGCGGGATTGCTTCATATCAAATACTTTGAAGGAAGAAAAAGATCACTTTTTATATAAACCACGATGTTTAAAATTATTTTAATATAATTGGTACAAATTTGAATAAAATACAATTTTATTTCTATTTTATTTTACTATTTATTGTATTAGAATTTGATCTGTTCTGCTTTCCTCAGGGTCTTGAAGTGTTTTATTAACCCAACATTTACTGAGTGGGTACAACATGTACCGATACCATACATTTTTTTAAAAAAAATATTGGTTTTAAATCATAATTCTGACAATGCACGTATTTGTTCAGTGTACTATTATTAGCACATAGGAAATTCTGTGGCTAAAAAAAAATGTGGCCATAGAATATATTGTTGTCATAAAAATATACAATACATAATTATGTATTTACCCTGTAAATTTACTAAATACTGTAATATACTTTAAAATTTACAGTATTTTGAATATTTGAAGTAGTTTAAATACGTATGTATTAATCAGATCAAGTCTTAATGTATTTTTTGTGTATATTTAAATACTTTTAATAAAGTGTTTTAGCGAAGTATTTAAATACTACATTTAAAGTATTTTTCTCAACCCTGATTACCGGTGATTTGTAAACATTATTCCATTTATGAGTACATGTGCTTCAAATTATGTCTTATAAAGTTTATTGGAAACTCAAAACCTTTCTGTAAAAATGAACTCTGAATTCCCCATTTTGAGAAATTCTCAAATGTCATTTGCTCAAAAAACGGCGCGGTGCCCATGATTAACAGTCAGAAAATAGCATATACCTCCAATGACGATTAACAGAATGGTTTAATAATATGGTGTTTGTGCAAAAGAGTAAAATAACGGGAAAACTTATCATTCATACTCATTTGTCTGTTGCTTGGTCTCAAAAGAGGATTCTATCGTGAGGTAGACAGTCATTTGAACCTGCCGCTGCCGCACACTGATTAATTGAAAAAGAAAAAAACACACATTTAATATACGTAGCTGCTACCTGTAAGAGAAACAGCCAAACAAACATACATTTTCCCAACTCGCCGCCAATTTCGTGCAGAAATCATTTCACGAATTATCTCAAGGCTTCAGGGGAGTGGCATGCGTATACCTCGCCTACGGAACAGAAAAACGAAGGCCCGAGAATACACATTCATCGGCGAGAACTCTACGCAGGGTGCTGCAGGTCATTGTTGCGAGGTCTATGTTCCACAGAGAATCGTGTAGCGTGTTTTGCAAAAACAGCCTGTCTCAAAATACATTCCTAACGGAAGTATAAAGTTCGTCACATCTGCTCACAGGGCTAGCCCTAAACAATAATAACGTAATTTGTTAGGTTGTTTTAAGGAAACCCATTAAATACCCACTGTTCCCAAAAATATTTTTATTTGAGGTAAACTTCATGGGGAGCAATTACATCTGTCGGGAAAAAACCTTCATGTTAATTCGTGAACAATAATTTATCGGGTCTAAGCAGGCTATCGTTAGCTAGAGCTGCCCAAAATGAAACTCGCAGAAGCGTAAGTTCGAACTTTAAGCCTAGAAATAATCATTAAATTCAGTATTTCTTTCATGGGCTCCAACGCTGGCACAACTCAAACTAGTGGTGGCAAAACTGCACTACTGTCTCGTCCGTATTTTCAAGCAAAATTACGCGAAATGTACTCAAATTTTCGAAAAATTTTACATTTCAAAATCTATCTTTGAGGAACAAATTTTATTAAAGGAAAAATCTGTATCTTTAATATTTTAGTTTTAAGACGACTCCGAAAAAGTATTGAACTTTTGCAATTTTCGAAAAATCAGGATTTCCAACGAACATGGGATCTACACCATTCTCTTCAACGTCTTTCATACTATCCAACAAAATTTAGTAAAAACACAAACAATGGAGCTATTTTTTGAAAATTTAGAACATGTTCCGGGTTTCATGTAAAGTAACCCCCAAAATTGAAATATCGGTTTCACATTCCAGGGGCCGTAAAATCAGCCAGATCGAATATCAATTTTGGAGAAAATCAGCTAAACGGTTTAGCCGCTAGAGTTCACACACACGTTTGTCGTTATTCTATTTTTCAGTATTAAGGACCCACAAAACGTGGATTGTGGCTTCACCATGTGATAGAGGATTTTTCCGAAATTTAGGAACTGGATTTATGCACTTTGTTACCTGGGCCGTGTAATGTTTTTCTGCCGTTTTTTCGCGCATTACATAACTTTCTCTCTACTCCATAGGAAGATAGTAAAAATATGAATTTTGTTATGACATACATTTTAATTATAATCATTATTTAATTATAATTTATATTAATTATATAATAATTATAATTTAATTATAATCATTATTAACAGACCTATGAAGCCTTTTAATAATGCTTACCCCTTAATGCACCAATTATTAAGTGTGTGATACCTGTAATTTGACCATCCCTTAAAAATTTAAAGTGTTTATCTCGAAAATTCAGTTTTTGAGTTGTGTCAATATTGCTGCCAGTAAATGATTTTAATGAACCAATATTTTAGCTGCAAAATGCTGTTAACATAAATTGTCATGATGAGAAGGAAAAACTGCAGGGGACTATCATTTATCTTATGCGACTCTAAAGCACAAAACATTAATTCACACTGAAGATACGCAAAAAATAATGTGAGCATTCTAGAAATTATGTTAATTTCCATAAGGCTTGGTTTATATTCAATGTTCATTGTTACACTGCTGAATACCGTGGTTATAGCAAAAGTTAATGTTAGTAGACTTTCTTTTGAAAATAATAAACAATTTACATGTTTCTGGAGTATATTTAATTTTTGAAGTTTTGACATTTCCTCCACGGCCACTCTGTGTATTATACATGTAGTCTGTATAAGCTAAATAAAATCTGTAACAAAATTCAAACCATTAGAACAGTGGGTAGCAAAACAATGTGCACAAGGACACAAATTACCTTGGTGCAGCCCTGGTCAGAAACTGGGGGATTGTAACTAAAAATCAGGTACATACAACGATCCCAAGAGAAAGGTTTTGAAGACTTTTTGCCAGTTAAAAGTATGTACCAACTGGACTAGTGTGACTGCAGGACATGATTAAGACCCAAATTTTTATTGTAGGAAGATCAGAAATGGATATTTCACTCTTTCTTTAATAAGATACGAGTGATTTGAGTTGCGAACAAAATCAATAGTCTTTAATAAAAATACATTTAAGTACCGCCATAGATACGACTTGCAATCTTAATTGTTTGACATGAGTCATTAGTGACAAATCGTTTAAAAAACATAAGCATTACAGAAAGGGGATGATACTCGTAACTTTTCATTTATCAATTTCCTTAAAAATATTTATAGATTTAAAAAACTCTGAGAAGACATTAAATAAACTGAAAACAAATTACTTTTCAAAAATAATTTTTATTACAGAAATGAAAAAAGTTCCACATAATAGTGCATAGATAATTCTAAGATATCTCTCAAGACACATCTAGAAAAACAAAGAATCCTAAAAACACTTAGTTTTGCAACATATAGAGTCATATGGACTGAAAACATATAGATTTTTTCTAATAATCATTTCAACTTTACATTTAATATTCCATTGCAGGATATACTAAATATTTGAACTTTAATACACATTGTTGTGCTATAACTTTTGTTCAGGCTTATTGCATGGATTACACATAATCATGAAAAAGTAAATACAAATTTTTGTAAACACTGCAGATAGATTATTTACTCCTAGATTCTAAAAGAAAATTAAGTTTAATCATGTTAGAAATAATAGGTGAAATATAATTTGTTTTAAATTAAAAAAAAATAAAATTGATAATTAATTTCATACCATACATTTTTAAACATGAATTGCTACCACTCAAAATTCATACCAATAACTGGTGTAAATAGCAAACAATTTATATCTTACAAACATACAAGGATCTACACATATAATTCACGCTATGTCACTAACCTGCATACTACCTACATCTTTCATCTAAGTGAACTATCTTCCTACAGCACAAGTGCAGAAAGAATTTTGTTTGTTATTTCTGCCACAAGCATTTCTTCATCTATTAGGAAATTAAAATTGAAAATGTAATGCATTTCAATAGCAACTTTCTACATTACAGAGCTAATATTTTCTATATGCTTCAAATTCATCTTACTAAAACACTATACATTTTGGAAGAAAATAATAAGAAAAACTACTTAAATTTACTGCACAAACTTTCTTGTGAGGGATGTGTTTCTTATAAAAGATACAAGTTTGTCTCCAGACAAAGAACAAAGAAAGAATTACTTATGAATCTTGGCCATTTGGATTTGCTCAATCAGTTTCTCAAACACAAGGTTTCACTTCAATTCAAATTTACTGTTCATTCTTTTGACAATTACTCTTTTGAAAGAAAAAATAAACAACCAAAAAACTGAAAATATGTTTCTTTTAGAATTTTCATTGAGAAAAACTATTTCATGAAATAACTTCATTCAATGAAAATTATAATCTGTAGTATTAAGTTACATCCAGACCTTAACATATGTAATTTTGGAACAAAATTGTTGACTTGCAACATACAGGAAACTAAACCTTGCATATTTTTTTTTAAAGATTTCAAATATTTATTTAATTTAATTAACATTACTAAGACACAGAGTGCAAAAAATTATTGGAACATTTCTCATTAGAAAATTATTCCAAAATAATTAAAAAATAGCAATTATAGCAAATATTAAACCCATTCAAGAAATTAATTTCAATCTGCACATTTAGAATACACT